CTTCTTCTCCTTCTTGGCCTTCTTCTCCTTCTTGGCCTTCTTCTTCGTCTCGGCGTCCGACTCGTCGTCCTTGTCTTCCTTGTCCTCCGCAAAGTGCTTGTGGGCGTAGCCGCCATGGCCTTCGCGGACAAACATCGAGTAGAGACCTATGCGCTTCTCAGTACTATTCGCTGGCAGTGCCAAGTCGGTACCGTTGTTGGGCAGACCATCGTCGCGCGGGCCGTGCGACTTCAAGCCAAAGCTACCGCCCGAGCCGAGACCGCCCTATTTCGCCGCGTCGTGAGTGGGTGTGGCAGGCACTAGGAGGGTTAAGGAGGACGTACGGACTTGCCCTTGGGGCGCAGGCGCTGGAGCATGTCATGCAGGGCCACGAGCTTGCTCTCCTCCATCTTGGCCGCGGCAGATCTTGAAGATGATAAATTTGAGCCGCGATGCTCCAGCCCAATCAGCTATCCAATCAAATTAGATGGGCGCTCATTGGACAAAATGCAAGTACGTTGTGATTGGATGAAATACAAAGCGCACTTGAAACGCGACTCGCACTTTAGAGAACCAAAGATCGCCGGTCGGAACCATCCGGATAATACCGCGCCGTATGGGCGTGCCACGTACCCACATACCGATCCGACCGCACCGTTCGTCCTCTGACTCAGTGCCTCTGACTGCTCTACGTCGCCATCAACGATAATAGAGAGAGCGACGAGGCACATACAGGCGCCGGTATACGAGTAGCATCGATGGACCCCAGCGTTCTGAGAAGCGTGCATCCCGCGAGCAGCAAACTCAGCTGGGACGATGATGATGATGCGACAGTAGAACGACGGCCAGGACGGACCAATATTTGCACGATTTAGTTGTACACAGGTCCTCTGGAGCGACATTGCGCGTAGTACATGTACGAACCGCACGCACAGCAGCTTCGTCATCGTGTTCGTGTACGAAGCTCGTCGTTGCGTATCGCAGTCGCAACGTCGACCACGCGAACACGTCGGCGGTGTCCCCACGACCATAAAGAACGCTGAAACACCATGCATTTGCAATCGCGGTCCATGAGCCATCCATTCGCCAGCCATTCCACAGCAAGTGCTTACAAATGCAGCAGGATGTGCTCGGTGCCGTAGAAAGTTTCCTGTGGACAATCCACCCAGGTGCACGCGTCAAGCGAGCCCAATTGACTCGATTGACGTGTCCCAGTGGTGATGGCCACTCGGAAATCTCTCACGGCTTCGGTCTGCTTCGTCGTAGCGTCATTTAGCTCGTCGAAGCAAGAGGTACCCATGTGACCGGCCATTGATCATAGGAATTTTCCGGACCACTTTGGCCGCTTCAAGCACCTCCCCCGCCATGATCCCACTCTACTCATTCAGTTTGCCCTTCATGGCACTTTTCTCTATCGTCCTATATCAGGCAATCTTTCTCATTTTCGTCTCAATATGGACCCAACCAACCAGTACAACTGCTAGTTGGATCACGTGACGTCACAACGCTCCGATCTATTCGAGGGCGAGGAATGCTATATCTTGGGGGCTCCTTAGTGTCCTTGTTATTAAAGCGTCGCGCGCGGCAAAGCCCCTTTTTATGCACCCGCATCTTGACTGGGACGGTTTCGAAACCTGAACCGTAAAGTATCAGCCAATCGGCGCGGTCGATCGTCTACTTCGACCATCAACATTGTGAGCTTGTGTTTTGTATGATAAAATCGAAGTTGCAGCTGCCACGGCCTCGCATACATTGCTCCAGATATTGACGTGGGCACCAACTTCGACGGAAGATCTTCCAGAGATCTTGGTCACAATCCAATTTGCCGCAGCCGCAGGAAGGACAAGACGATGTATCGACTACGACGAGCACCGATGATTAGCTTCCGCCAGAAGCACATGTCGACCGGCGTCGACCGGCGGGGCGTCCCATCCTTCGAGAAGCGCGCGGTCCTCGAGCTCTCGGACGGCTCCAAGTACCCCGGCATCTCGTTCGGCGCCGACCAGTCGATGGCGGGCGAGGTCGTCTTCACGACGGGCATGGTCGGGTACCCCGAGGCCTTGACGGACCCGTCCTTCCAGGGCCAGATCCTCAACATGACCTTTCCCATGATCGGCAACTACGGCGTGCCCTGCACGAAGGAGCTCGACCAGTATGGCCTCAACAAGCACCTCGAGAGCAACCGGATCCACGCGGCCGGTATGATCGTCCAAGACTACTCCAAGCACCACAGCCACTGGAACGCCAAGTCGTCGCTCTCTGAGTGGCTCGTCAAGGAAGGCATTCCGGCGATCGCTGGCATCGACACGCGCGCGCTCACCAAGAAGATCCGCGCGAAGGGCGCGCTCACGGGCCGCATCGTGGTCGACGGGTCGCCGGCGCCAGCGTTTGAGGACCCCAACTCGCGCAACCTCGTCGCCGAAGTGTCGACCAAGGACGTGAAAATCTACGGCAAGGGCAACCCGCTCAAGATCCTCGCGGTCGACTGCGGCATCAAGTACAACATCATTCGCCAGCTCGTCCAGCGCGGCGCCGAGGTAAAGCTCGTGCCGTGGGACCACGACATTGTGTCGGAAATGAGTTGGTACGACGGGCTCTTCATCTCGAACGGCCCCGGCGATCCGGCCATGCTCCAGCACACAGTGGCGCAGCTCGAAAGCATCATTGCGAGCGACAACGTCAAGCCCATCTTTGGCATCTGTCTCGGGAACCAGCTCCTCGGTCGCGCGGCCGGTGCAGACACGTACAAGCTGCCGTTCGGCAACCGTGGCCAGAACCAGCCCGTGAACAACCTCAAGACGGGCCAGTCGTACATTACGGCGCAGAACCACGGGTATGCGCTCGACGGGAAGAAGCTCCCGACCGAGTGGGAAGAGCTCTTTGTGAACGGCAACGACGGCACGAACGAAGGCATCATCCACAAGACCAAGCCGTTCTTCACGGCGCAGTTCCACCCCGAGCACGCGGGCGGCCCGACGGACACGGAGTTCCTCTTTGACACGTTCCTCGACGCCGTGCGCACCAAGACGACGGGCCCGATCACGTCGCTCGTGCAGCGGCCGCCGACGACGCGCCCGCAGTTCAAAAAGGTGCTCATTCTTGGCTCCGGTGGCCTCAGCATTGGCCAAGCCGGCGAGTTTGACTACTCGGGGTCGCAGGCCATCAAGGCGCTCAAGGAAGAGAACATTCACACGATCTTGATCAACCCGAACATTGCGTCCGTCCAGACCAACGTCGACAAGTCGACCGAGGCGCAGGCCGACAACGTCTACTACTTGCCGGTCAACTCGGACTTTGTCGAGCAAGTCATTCGCCGCGAGCGCCCGGACGGTATCCTCATCTCGATGGGCGGCCAAACCGCGCTCAACTGCGGTGTCGACCTTCACCACAAGGTAAGCAATGGTTGAGTTTGCACTTGGCGAAGTGCAATCTCGCTGCGTAGGGCATTCTCGAAAAGTACAACGTCAAGGTGCTCGGCACGCAAATCCCCGTCATCGAAGCGACCGAAGACCGCGAGATCTTCAACGCGAAGCTCAAGGAGATCAACGAGAAGATTGCGACGAGCTTTGCGGCCGAGTCGGTCGCCGAGGCGCTCGAAGCCGCCGACAAGATTGGGTACCCGGTCATGATCCGGTCGGCGTTTGCGCTGGGCGGTCTCGGCAGCGGCATCTGCGAGGACAAGAAGGAGCTCACCAAGATGGCCAAGAAGGCGTTTGCGGGCTCGCCGCAGATCCTCGTCGAGCGCTCCATGAAGGGCTGGAAGGAAGTCGAGTACGAGGTTGTGCGTGACGCGGCCAACAACTGCATCACGGTCTGCAACATGGAGAACTTTGACCCGCTCGGCATCCACACGGGCGACTCGATGGTCATTGCGCCGTCCCAGACGCTCAGCAACCGCGAGTACCACATGCTCCGCGAGACCGCGCTCAAGGTCGTGCGCCACCTCGGCATCGTCGGCGAGTGCAACATCCAGTATGCGCTCAACCCCGAGAACGAGGAGTACTGCATCATTGAGGTCAACGCGCGTCTCTCTCGCTCGTCGGCGCTCGCGTCCAAGGCCACGGGCTACCCGTTAGCGTTTGTCGCCGCCAAGCTCGGCCTCGGTATCAACCTCCCGGAGCTCAAAAATTCGGTGACCAAGTCGACGTCGGCGTGCTTTGAGCCGTCGCTCGACTACTGCGTCGCCAAGGTGCCCCGCTGGGATCTCTCCAAGTTTGAGCACGTGAGCACGGAGATTGGCTCGAGCATGAAGAGTGTCGGCGAGGTCATGGCGATCGGCCGCACGTTTGAAGAGACGATCCAGAAGGCGCTGCGCATGGTTGAGCCGAGCATCGAAGGGTTTGAGCCCAAGGCCAAGGACGCGCTCTCGAAAGCCGACTTGATTGCGGCGCTCCAACGCCCGACCGACAAGCGCATGTACCAGATCGCGTACGCGCTCCGGGAAAACATCCTCTCGGTGCAGGAGATCCACGATTTGACCAAGATCGACACGTGGTTCCTCAGCCGCCTCCAGCGCATTGCCGACCTCGACGACGACCTCACCAAGCTTGGCAGCCTCAGCGCTGTCCCGGACCATCTCCTCCGCGAGGCCAAGGAGGTCGGCTTTTCGGACCGCCAGCTCGCGCGCATGCTCAACTGCTCGGACGACGCGGTGCGCGCGGACCGCAAGGCCCGCGGCATCATTCCGGTCATCAAGCAGATCGACACGCTCGCGGCCGAGTACCCGGCGGCGACCAACTACCTCTACACGACGTACAACGCGTCCGAGAACGACGTGGCCGACCAGCCGCCGAACGACGGCGTCATGGTGCTCGGGTCGGGTGCCTACCGGGTATGTAGTATTCTCTTTCGCTCAATGGCTCACGCAGTGTATCGACTAGATTGGCAGTTCGGTCGAGTTTGATTGGTGTGCTGTCTCGTGCATTCGGACGCTCAAGAAGCTCGGTCGCCGCGCAGTCATGCTCAACTACAACCCCGAGACGGTCTCGACCGACTATGACGAGTGCGACCAGCTCTACTTTGAAGAGCTCTCGAAGGAGCGCATCCTTGACGTCTACGATCGCGAAAACGTTGCCGGCGTCGTCGTCTCGGTCGGCGGCCAAATCCCCAACAACGTGGCGCTGCCCCTGCACAAGGCCGGCGTCCGCGTCCTCGGCACGTGCCCGACGATGATTGACTCGGCCGAAGATCGCCACAAGTTTTCCGAGCTCATGGACCGCGCCGGCGTGCGCCAGCCCGCGTGGAAGGAGCTCACGAGCCTCGACGCGGCCAAGGTGTTTGCGCACGATGTGGGCTACCCCGTGCTCGTCCGCCCGTCCTACGTGCTTTCCGGTGCGGCCATGAACGTCGCCTACTCGGACGACGACCTCGCGCGCGTCCTCGGCGAAGCCGCCGCCGTCTCGCAGGACCACCCGGTTGTCATTACCAAGTTTGTCGAAGGCGCGCGCGAGATTGAGCTCGACGGTGTCGCCCGCAACGGCGAGATCATCGCGGCGGCGGTCTCGGAACACGTCGAGAACGCTGGCGTGCACTCTGGCGACGCCACCTTGATTCTGCCGCCCGTCGACCTCAGCGCGTACTACATTGACCAGGTCCGCCACGCCGGCGCCAAGATCGCCAAGGCGCTCAACATTTCCGGGCCGTTCAACGCGCAGTTTTTGGCCAAGGGCGCGGACGTGCTCGCGATCGAGTGCAACTTGCGTGCGTCGCGCAGCTTTCCGTTTGTCTCGAAGACGGTGGGCGCCGACTTTATTAGCGCGGCGACCAAGGTCATGGTCGGCGCCGACACGTCCAAGGACAACCTCCCGGGCCTCTTTGACCCGATCCGGCCGCAAGAGTACGTCGGTATCAAGTCGCCCATGTTTTCGTACACGCGACTCGGCGGCGCGGACCCGCTCCTCGGCGTCGAGATGGCGTCGACGGGCGAGGTCGCGTGCTTTGGCAAGACCAAGCACGAAGCGTTCCTCAAGGCGCTTCTCTCGTCCAACTTCAAGCTGCCGAAGAAGAATGTGCTCCTCTCGATGCAGGACAAGGTGTCGCCCGACTTCGTGCACCACGCGCACGACCTCGTGAACCTCGGCTACACGCTCCACGCGACCGAGAAGACGCACGCGTTCCTGGCCAAGTACAACGTGCCGAGCGTCAAGCTGGCCTTCCCGCTCGACGAAGAGAGCGCCGAAGAGAATGTGCTCAACTACATTAAAGAAGGCAAGATCGACCTCGTCATCAACCTCCCGACGTCCGACTCGAAGCGGCTCAAGGACAACTACCTCATCCGCCGGACGGCCGCCGACTTTTCGATCCCGCTCTTGACCAACGTGAGCCTCGTCAAGCTCTTTGTCGAGAGCATGCGCATCCACCGCGAGAAGCCGCTGCTCGGGCTCGAGTCGTCGAGTCTCTTTGACTACTACGACTCGGAAGACGAGAAGCCGTGGACGGCGCCCAACGAGTTTCACTAGGCGCTGCGTTTTCATGGTGATCGTCGACGACGAAGATAGCACGTAATACATGTATGCATACAAACGATGCGTTAGCGCTTCTTGGACGGTCGCTTGGCCTTGGGCTTGACGTCCGCTTCGGGCGCGATCACCGAGATGGCGCCGTCTTGGATCTCACGCTTGTGCACGCTGTGCTCGACCTTGTTTTGCGTGTCGAGGTAGAACATGAGGTCCTTGATCTGCGACTCGAGGTCGTCGACGCGCGCCTGCGTGCTGCGCTCGAGCGTTTGCACCTTGTCTTCGGCGCACTTGACGCGCTCCTTCCAGCTTGCTTGGTTCTCAATGAGCGACTTGTTGAGCTCCCTGCACGCGGGATATGAGGTTTGCTGGACGGTGGAGGTCATCATACCGCACGAACACGAGCTCTTCTTCGAGCTGCGCCGTCTTCTTTGCGAGCGCTTCGTTCTGGCGCTTGAGCGACTTGCGCTCGTGGTCGAGGGCGCGGCGCTCGGTGGCGTCGCCCATGCGGCGCTCGTAATAGAGCCGCTGCTCTTCGAGCTGGCTAGTGACGCGCATGATGCCATGCGCTCGCACGACGCTACTACCTTGTGAGGAGGTGGTTGTACTCGGCAGCGAGCTTCTCGAGCTTGAGATGCTCGTCGCTGGCTTCGTCGTCCATGGACGCGTGTGCATTTGGGTTGGGAAACTCGACGCACTTGCCGTCTTGCTTGTTCATGATGAGTCGATGCACATACCTACATGCAGAGGCCAGGTGAGGTCGAGAGCGTAAGGAGGACGCGACCCGTCGCCAGCATAATCCCACACACGCTGTGTCTCGAGCTCGAGCGAGTACGTGTGCATGGTATCTTGGTAGTGCTTCTTGGCATGCTCGTTCGAGTACCGGCCACAGCCAATGTGGCCGCAGATTAAGCAGATCCAGAGGTGCTCGGTCGTCTCGCAGACCTACCTCACGCTGGGGCATCGTTGCACGAGCAAGCCGTACCTCGCACGTCGAGACCATGTCGCCGTGGCTGTACCGGCACACGGGGCAGCTCGAGCCTTCCCAGCCAAAGAGGCAGTCGCAGTGGAACGTGTGGTTGCACAAGGTCGTGAGGACGCCCGAGACGGACGTATCGAGGCGGTCCAAGCACACGGGGCAGGTGGGGATCTCCACGTGGCCATCGGGCGCGTCGCAGCGCAGGCCGTCGTCGTTGAAGGCCGGAAGCATGCCGTTGGCCACGAGGTGGCCGTTGACGCGCGGGAGCGGCCCGGCGCTCGGCGGGTGTGCGCTCCGGACAAACTCGATGCAGCGGACAAACACGAGCTTGCAGCGCTCGGGCTCGATCGAGTTGAAGCGCGTGCCATTGAACGCTTCGTAGAACTGAGCGGCCTTGGCGGCGCTCGCAAACTGGACGAGCGCCATGCGCGTCGGGTGGCGCGGGTTGGCGTCGCGCAGGAGCCGCATGAGCACAATCTCGTCGCGGAAGGCTTGGGTAAACTCGAGGAGCTCGAGCGGACCGACATGAAGCGGGAGGCTCACAAAGCCGAGGAGCGTCAAGTTCATCTCGAGGATCGCGTTTGTCGAGAGATGCAGCCACTGGTCGCTGCCCTCGTCGTCGTCCTTGGTCTCTTCGTGGCGCGCGTGATGCGGCATGGACCGGAAGAGGCGCAGGCGGCCCGTGAGCACCTCGACGCGGGGGTTCCCGACCTCGAAGGCCATCGTCGTCGTGCTATCGCCATCGTCGTCGGCGTCCTCCATGTTGAGTCGCACGTGGAAGGTCGCCATGGCGTCGGCCAGCGGAATATACACCGACCGGATGGATCGCCCCGAAATCAGCAAGGACAATAATACAATACAAAGCACAAAGAAAGCTTGATCATTGTATCGAAAGACATGTATTTTTTAAGAAACTTGAATTTGCGCCCGCAGTTGCGAATTTGCCACGTCCTGCACAGATCGCTTCCTCTAGTGCTTGCCCATGGCGTCGAGCATGCGGGTGACCATCTTGGCCTTCTTCTTGGCCTCGAGCGTCTTGAGCGCCGGCAAGAGGTGCTGGTGGAAGAAGACGGCGACGCCATCCCGCGTCGCTTCCATCTATAAGCATGGCATGAGCGTTGAACGATGCAAGGCAGCGACCGACCTTGGACTTTTGCTGGGCGATGCGCTCAAAGACGCCGATGAGCGCCGAGTCGTCGTCGATGCTCAGGATCCGCTCAAAGGCGACGCGGAGGAAGAGTACGGTCGCGTCGCTGACGTCGGTAAAGTCGAGGACCTACAGTCGCACGTCGACTCGTTTTGCCTCGGCAGGAAGCGATACCTTGAGGACAGCGAGGGTCATGGCGCCCGTCTCGAGCAGCTTGGCGAGCAAGCACGCCATGTTGTAGACCTTGCGCGGCTTCCACGCATCGAGCTACACGCATCATCCATCTCCTGCTCCTCTTCCAATGCTGCAGTCTCTACCTGCTTGAAGACGTCCCAGTACGCGAGCTGGAGCGTAAACTTGTAGCGCGGGTCGGCGGTCGCAAACTTGTCGGCAAGGAGTGCGTAGTACGGGTTGTACTTGGCTTCGTTTCCGCAGCTACACATTCCATGAGCATCCATCTTCGATCCTTCCTCGGTCCTACCAGTGCATGAGCACGCGGATGATCTCACGCTCTTGCTTGTCCTTGAGACCGAGCTTGAGCACGCCTTCGTACGCTTCGATGCAGTCGGACGCGCCCATGATCGCACAAAAGATCGACCGGCGCACATCTATCGCAAGCGTCCATCGTCTGTATCAATGTATCGAGTGCTGAGACACACCCGTGTTCATGCGCTGCTTCTCCGCGAGCTTGAGCAGCGCGTTCTGCTGGGCGTCAGAGTCCTTGCCGCCGACCGCCCCCGACGTCTGGCTCTACGCGAGCGTTCGTCACTCGATCAACAATCTCAAAACCAAAGTCCAAGACGTACGGGGGGGACCCACGTGCCGCCAATGATCCACCACCGGCCTTGGGCTACATAACACACATCAGACACCCTCGCAGACCCGTCAATAGTACCGTCGGCGTGCAAAAGCTCCGAGAACGAGACGCGGAGTGCGTTGTTGGCGTGGCCGACGCGCGTTTTGACGCGGCCGATCCACTTGCGCAGCTGCTGGACGCGGTCGTTGGAGAACGCACTCGACTTGGTCTTTTTTGTGGCCTTCTTGAGGTTGTAGATCAAGTCGAGGAGGAAGCGGACGCGCCTAGAGAAGCAATGTAAGGACCTTGGTGGAGAGGATAGTGGTCCATCGTACTGCTCTTCGTGCTGGCTGGCTTTGGTCTGGACGGTCGCAATCATATCCGTGAGCGCGCTCGCGTCGTCGGCGCGGAGCGACGGGCCACACGCTATATGACACAAGTTGAAACCAAAGCTTGGCGTCGTTGAGAGGACCTTGGAGAAGCGCGTGGATGAGCTCAATGTCGACGCCCGTGAACGAGTCGACGAGGAAGCGGAAGATGTCGTAGATCATGCCGCAGTGCACCGTGTCAAACATGTAGAGCGTCGTGATCATCAAGAGGAGGTTCGTCGCCTCCTTGGACCGCGTCTCGCCGTCTTCGTCGTCGGACGAGGATGCGCGGAGCGTCACGACCGCCTGGGATCCAATGAGGACACTATTCTCCAAGTCGTGGGATATTTACCGTTTCAAATTTTTGGACAAAATGCTCAATGAAAAAGCCGACAATCTCCGTGCCGACCGAGTGGAAGAGCGCGCCAAGGAGGGCGCCGCTAATGTTGATGAGCTGCGTCATCACTTGGGTCTACGATGACGCGGACGCGTCAGAAGGCGATAGGAATGCGCGAGGAGTACCTCGTGACAGCAGAGCGCGACCAGCGCTTCGAGCAAGATCGCGTTGACGTCCGCACGCACAAAGGACCGGTAAATGCTCTCAAATTCCATGCAAATCGGCCTACCCGCGATTATGAGACGAAAGAAGATGATGAAGAAGAGCGTACTCCATGTTGCTCTCCGAGAGACGGTTGAGCTGGCCGTTGATGCGGCGACGGACTTCGCGCAACTGTTGCTCGTCTGTCGTCGCAGCGCGGCGCAGGTGCGGCGGCACATACCGCGTCGCCGAGATGGCTACAATCAATATCGATATAGTTGAGGGCGAGGGCGATGCGAGTACCTGTCGCCGCGACCTTGGGGCGGCCGTAAATGTCTTCTTCGACAACGACCGGCGTCTTCTCTACGGGCCGTTTGTAGTACCACGATACAGGCGACAAGATGTCGACGCTACCAGCCTCGTCTTCGGCCTCGTCCTCGCTGACTTGCTTTGTCTCGTCTTCGCTACCTTCGTCATCGTCGTCCTCGACATCTTCCTCGAGCTTGTCAGCTTCGTCCGAGTCGACGTCCGAGTCGCCGTCGTCACTGGCAGCTACATGGGGCTTTGAACGCATGGTACCTTCTCTTGACGACGTACAGTGGTGCTGATTGCGGGCCGTGTTGGCAGCAACTTCGTCGTCACCTTCGTCCTCCGAGAGGTCCGAATCAAACTGCGCAAGGTCGTCGTCGTCCTCTTCTTCGTCGTCTGTTGGGAGCTGGTCCATTTCTACGCGATATGGTGGGTACGCAGCAAGACAAGGCGGCACGTACCTTGGAGAAAAGCCGCGTCTTCTTCCGCCAAAAGCTCCATCTCACGACGCGTCTCCTCGTCCATGCCCTCGAAATCATCGTCATCTTCATCTTCGTCCGCATCCTCTTCCCCATCCTCGTCCATGCTGACATCGCCCTCGTCCGAGATCTCGTCGTCGTCTTCGGTGGCAGGCACCGGCTTCTTGCCCGTGATGCGCCTACAAGATGACAATTACGCCGTTGATCTATATCAAAATACGGCCGAATGTAGAATGTACGCAGAGAGGTCGTCGAGGCCCATGAGAAAGTCGCCAAAGTCAGCGCCAAGACCGTCCTTCTCAAACTCCCTACACATTGATAGTGTAAGAGCCTCGCCAGAGCTGCTAGCGTCAAACTTGTTGAGCTTGGCTTTGCCCGTGGACTTGGTCAGGCCAAGGCTTTTCTCAAGACGCTTGAGTGCAATGTCTTCCTCGGAGACCTCGGCCTTGGACTGCGGCTTCTTGAGCACCTTGGCCGAGTCCAAGCTAATGGCGCCTGCATGCAGCGGTGACCACTTACCCTTGGCATGGTGCTGCGACGTACCTTCGGCGGCCTGGGCCTGGATCATCTCCATAAACTTGTTTTGGAAGCCGCCAGCTTTCGGGCGCTTGGCTACTGGCGCCTCTTCATGGCGGCGCTTGCTCATGGGATGAGCGTCTTCGTGGCGGCGCTTGGCCGGCGCCTTGTGCGCGACTTGGCGCATCTGCTTCTTCTGCTTCTTCTCGCTGCGCTCCTGCTGGCGGCGCGCCTTCCGCGCGTCCTTCACGGGCTTGGCCATGCTCGATCGTGTTCGAACTTCAATTCGGCCAGCTGATTGGCTCCGACCTGATTTCCTGTCCTACTTTCGTGGATGCCTAATTAGGACACCGAAAAACAAGAGCCAACGATTGGCAACCATCGCGGCCAATCAAAGCGCGGGTTCTCGTTTGAACCGACCAATGACTGTCCGCGTGGCGCAATCTTGCGCTGCCACAGGAGACCACCAAGAGCTCCACCAAGGCAGCTCGAGACCTACTACGTTCATAGCTCACGAGTCGTACGAGTTCCATCGTTCGCGCAGAGAGTTGAGGTAGAGGACACGATCATTATTCATCGTCAACATGTATCATTATACATTGTAGCAAGGTCCCACTGTATAGTGTCCAACTCTCGTAGTCGTGGGGCCTCGCAGGGTCCATGGATGTCGACGCAATAGCGTAGACAGTCGCTTCGATCGTCCGTCGTTGTCGCTGGCGCGAAACGGCGGCCGTTTTGACTCGGACAAAACGATGGTCCGTCGGGACCTATGAGCACTTCGCCGCTGCCGTTTACGACCAAGTCCCACGTCGAGCTGCATGACAAGCGCGGTACGTGCCTGCACAAGTCGTCAAAGCGCAAGTACGTGCACACGAGCCACGGCGCGGGCCTGCACCACCTGCATGGCCTCCTCCATTCGCTGCACGCGCCCGAGCTCGCGGAAATCGGCGCCATCGTACCCCCGGAGGAGAGTATGTGCACGTACCTTCTTCTCGACGGCGACGGCGACTGGGTCCAACTGACGATGGACGACTTTACCTCGGCCACGGCCAGCCCGCTGCACCTCAAACTCGTGCTGCGGCCCAAGCTGGACCGGCCGACGCCGCGGCGGGGCGAGGATCCAGGACCACGACGCGTCAAGCGGCGCCAGTCCCTTCCGCTTGCGCCGGCTCTTATCCCGCGGATCAACGCTACGTTAACGCCCTTGCCGCTTCCCATCGATGCGATTTTGGTACCGAACCGAGCGTGGACGAGCTTGGCGTTTGCGGACGCTTCCAAAACGCTCTACTGGCTCGACGAGCTGCAAGGCAACCTTGGCAGTGTCGACGTGACGTCTGGCGCGGTGCGCGTGCTGCAGTCGGACTTGCGTCGCCCGCGTCAGCTGCATCTCGGAACGTCGCGCGATGCCATATGCCTCTATTTCCTGCAAGGCGAAGGCGACTTGTGTGTCTACGACATTAGCGGTGTCGTGCGCCTTGTTCAGTGTGCAGGTCCGGTCAGCGGTTTTTGCATCACACCTGACCTTGCGTCACTGCTCGTCCTGGAATCAGCACCCAACGGTGCCACCTACCACGTCGTATCGTACATGCACTACGCCACAAGCACTGACGTTAACGAGGTCGGTGACGCACGCTGCGTCCTTTTCGACGTCGACGCGCCGACGGTGACCGCAACACCATCGGCGCTGTGCGTGACAGATACGGGTGCGCTCTGCGTTGCCTGGACAGCGGCTCCCTTCGTGACGGTCTGTCGGTCAAGCGACGACACAAGTATGTCGGTCGAGCCGTGGGACTTTTCAAGTGTGATCCAGCACCACGTAAGTCTCCCTGCAGAGTGCACGGCCATCACATACCACGCGACCTCGCGCACGTTACTACTGGGATTGGCCGATGCCGACGCTGCACGCGGTGGCCTCGCTCGGCTCCTCCTGCCTCGAGACCACGCTCTACCAACGTTGCATCTCGAGCCCGAGCGCGTCTTGCCCGTCTTGGCGCTGACGCACGCGGGCAGCGACGAGCTCTACTACTGCGTACGGCGCCAAGGGTACCAGCACGACATCCTAACGTGGCACTTATCGACGAGGCCCGACGACGACGAGCCTCCTTCCAATATGTCGCCAACTCCAGCGACGCCCGAGAGCACGCCGCAGCGCGTGCACATCAAGGTCCTCGTGCGCTGCCGACCGCTGCTCGCGCACGAAGAGGCAGCGGGGCAGCGGTCGGTCGTCGCCTGCGACGGCAACCGCGTCTACGTCGAGCCCATCCACGCGTACCAAAAGCCCCGCGCGTTCAACTTTGACACGGTGTTTGGTCCGTCGACGACCCAAGAGGACCTGTTTGCGGTATCATTTTCCGGTCTACAGAAATGATATATATCATTTGGACCCTAGACATCGATTCAGCCGATTGTGCAGCATGCGATCAGTGGCTACACGTGCACCGTGTTTGCGTATGGGCAGACCGGCTCGGGAAAGACGCACTCGATGCAGGGCCATCGCGGCGGTGCCGACGCCGGTCTCATGTACCGCGCCATCGCCACGGTGTTTGCCTCACCGGCAGTCACGAGCGTGCGCATGTCGTATGTGGAGATCTACAACGAAGAGATTCTCGACCTCCTCGCAGCCAGTCTCCGGCGGCAAAGCGATCGACCGCAGGTGGTCACGACGTCGTCCAAGGCGCTCCGCGACGTGGCCAAGAAGCGCGGCGTCCGCATGAAGTACGAACAAACCCGTAGTCGGGACAAAAAATACGACCTCTCCGACGACGACGAGAGTGCGGGTCGCCCAAGTAAATTGCACATTGTCAAGCACGCGCTGCACGGTGTGCGCGTGCACGGGCTCCACGAGGTGTCGGTGGCCACCGCTGCGGACGCCTACGAGCTGCTCGAGCTCGCAATTCAGTGCCGGCAGCAGTCGGCCACGCTCTGCAACAAGGCACCAACGTACCTTCTTCTCGAGTCGAATCTGATGTTGGATAGGAGTCGAGTCGGTCGCACGCGATCTTCACCTTGTACACCGACACGACCCGTGCGTGCTAGTTCTACTTCGTGTATCCCGATCGAAGACGCTGTGTCTAGTCGTTGAAGACGGCCAGTCGATCCAAGCCAGCGGGCAGCTTCGGCTCGTGGATCTCAGCGGCTCGGAAAACTACGAGCGCGCGGGGTGTCTGAAAGATCGGCAGGTCGAAGCCGCCAACATTGGCCAGGGCCTCCTCGCACTCGGCCGTGTCATCAAGGCGCTTGTCGAGGGCTGGAAGCACGTGCCGTACCGAGAAAGCAAGCTCACGGTAGTGCTCGGATGCACTTGGTGCCTCATGCTTCGCATAGCGGCTTTTGGAAGATAGTATTGGCGGGTCGGCGCTGACGACGCTGCTGCTGGCCGTCGCACCGGGCAGCGCCGCCGTCGACGAGACGCTGAGTACGCTCTCGTATGCGCAGATGGCGCAGCAGGTCGTCAACCGGCCGACGCGCGTACACGCCTTGCTCCAGCCAACTCGAACCAAACCGATCGAGCCCGTCGTCGTCGTGGCCACACCGTGGGTCGGTCATGTGCCCATCAGGACGTCGCCGCCACGGCTGACGAAACCAGCGGACGAACGTGTGCTGCATGCGACGACCGAGGAGTGGCGAGCCAACCTCTTGGTGCACAAGGCGCGTGTGAATCCGCTGAGTCGGCGCACGACCGGCATACTCCAGTCCGACCTTCGATATTGGACCAACCTTGTCCATGACGACGTTCCGTAGGAAAATCTTCGACACGTACGACGCCAAGGCCACCGGCGTCTTGTCGCGATTCGAAGTCCGGCGCGTGTTTATGGACCTCCTGTGTCGACCCAAGGAGAGCGCGCCCAAGACATTGACGTTTGCCGAGTTTGTCGACATCTTCCAAACCTTGCTGCAGACCGACCCGCAGATCGCACAGGACATTATCACAACCCACGGCTACACACTCAACCTCGAACGCACGCTGGTGGCGCCGCTCCCGGCCGGCGTGCGGTGTCTGCGGCAGTTGCAGCAGCACCGACCAGCGTCCGCCCCCGCGGCCCGTGCAGTATTCAATCGCAAGACGACGTGAACATGCTATTTCTTTCAACTACCTTATATACACCGTATTCTCAACCTACATGCTTTGCACGATCACGCCGACTGCACAGATGCCGCCGGTGTCGCATGGTCGTACGGCGTGAACGACGGGCCGGACGCATCAAAGTCCTTGGCCCCACCGACCCACTCCCATATGACGACCGAAGCGCCGTTCGCAGCGCGCCTAGTTGCAAGAAGTGAGGTTGACTTGATACATTGAAACATTGAAAGTAGGCGTACGTGATCGTGCGCTCGACGATGCGCGGGTCCGTGCGCACGGCGGCGCCGAGCTGATCCCACACGCTTGAGACGACGCGGTACTTTTCGTCGCGCGTGAGCTGGAGGATGTCGATGACGTGGTCGCGGAGGTACTGGATCGGGTAGCCCGCATCCTCGGTCTCGTCGACGCGCGACGCGGCATGCGTCATCAGCTCGTCTTCGACGACGACCAGCATGCGTGCCAACTAGACGGCACGTCTTAGTACAAGAACCCTTGGCACGATGAATGGCGTACCAGTTCTTGGTCGCGGGTAAACGTCTGGTTGTCGACAACCACAAAGATCGCCAGCACCACGAGCACCACCGCGAGGACGACCGACTAGAAACCGTAGAGTGACGCCGACTGTGTCGACCACCTCGCGACGCGTACCGTAAAGTACTCCAACACAAACGTGGTGGCGCGGCACAATGGCGACGCGTCATCGATGGTCAAGTCGACGAACGTTGCGTCACTCTTCTTGCCGAGGCGCGTCAGCGCCTTTGTAAACGCGATACCGAACGTCTTGGGCCCAATGTCCTTCCTACAACCACAAGCTTGAGAACGTTCATCCAATCGCAGTCAGTACCACGCAGGGTCGGCGCGGAGCTGTTGACGCAGGGCTTCGGTCGAGAGCGGCACCGACGACGGGTGGCCCAGGTCCTGCACCACGCTGAGAGGGTCCAGCGCTTGGAGCCGGGTGGCCAGCGGCGCCTCGCAGTACACGGACGTGGCCTCGCTGCGCCAGATCTCGGTCAGCATCGACGCCATCAGGCTCGAGTCGCGGGTGAGGCCCATGGCTTCATGGCACTCGCCGCGGAGCGCAATGAACGACGGATCGCAGTCGACCAAGGCGCCGTCACGACACACTCCATGCGGTGGACAGGGCCGGCAGTGGAGGTCTACAGCAGGTTGATTTATATATTACTACACCATATAGGGATGGTCTTAAGGAATACCCGCAGCCGTAGCATTGGCGTCGCAGTGCGGCAGCTGCTCTACGTAGGCCGAGGTCGCGCCGAGAACGACGGCGCCGACCGCAGCGGCAATGACGCCGGCGTAAGCGATGACGCGCGCGGTCGACGAGCGCTTCGGGCCAGGCAGAGATCGGACGAGCGCGGTCGACGGCGCAGCGTTGGACGTGGCGTCGTCGACGGGCTCTTCAACGTGCATGACATCAGGAAAGGTCGTCGTTGTCGTCGATGACGAGACGCTGCGGAAGTGGTCTTCGGTGCTGCGGGCCACAAATTCGGGCGTCTCGTACACATCTTCCGGGCTCGTGGCAACGACTGGCGTCGCCTCGGTCGTCGTGTGCTCGTTCGTTTCTGCCGCTACGGCTTCTTCAGGACCGGCTTCAGCGATCGCAGCTTTGGCTGCGGCGAGCTTCTTGCGCTCTTCCTTGTTGATATTGGCGGCGCGCAATGCGTACTGGGTCGCGGACTCGTCGGGGGTTTTGACGATCTTGGCCTTCTTTTCCGAGACGATCTTGGACCGCGTGACCGCGTGTGTCGCAGCCTTGATGGTCGTCTGCTGGCTAATCGTCGTCGTCGTCGTCGTTTCGACGTCGGTCTCGAGCGCGCCTGTCTTGGCAACCTTGGCGTGGGCCGGCGCATCGGCGTCCGAGGCCATATCCTTGCGCTTGGCGCCACGCTGGCGAGAGTCGGCAAGACGTTTGGCTTCGGCCGCTTCGAGGCGCGCCTCTTGATCCTTCGCAGCAATCTCCTGCGCGCGCTGCAGCTTGCTTACCTAGAGACAGGTCAGCATGGCGCCCTTCGCGCCATTGCCAAGATTACCGGCGATAGGAAATCCGGCGCGCTCGTCGTTGTGGCCCCCACTGGCTCGATCGTCAAGGCCGGCTTGGCCTCGGCGTCGGCGTCGTCCTTGTGGGTCTCGGACTCGTCACCGTCGATGACAATGGTCTCGATCGGCGCCTTGGCCGGGCTCGGCTTGGCCACCTTGGCTGGGCCCTTGACCGGCGTGCGCTTCTTGGCAGCGCCGTCCTGGGGTGCGTCCTTGGTCACCGTCGTCGCAATCTTCTTGGAGCGCTTCCGCGGCTTGACCTCTTTTGCGTCCGTCTTGGCCATGGCTTGGTCGTGTTGCAGAAATGAAGAGTGGGGTCCAGCTGGGCGTTTGAATTTTTAAAACACGCAACTTAGTCAGAAATTCGCCGCGTTTGATTGGCTTATTGCAGCCAATCATCACGGTGCTCTCTTCCGCGCCCAGAGGCATGGGGCGTTTGAACTTCAAACCGGTTAGTCGCGTATCAGATTCGATTGGACACGGCTCGGCGCCGCCATGGCATCCTCCTCGGCTGTCGCTCGCCCAAGATTTGGTCGTATATGAACCTCGCAGCGTCCTCGGGAACGCCGTTGCGGCCAAAGCGTCCATAATGACAATGAGTGGTGGCCGCGCTGCTTGGGTTTGAACTTCAACATTTGGTGACTGGGTGTGGCTTCTTAGGTCGGAGAAGCAGCCGCAGGTCGACCGGCCACACGCGAGGATGATAACTAGACAATAATAGGACTAGCCGTCATGGGCTACGCGTCGTGCGCATATATACCGTGGCCGAAAGACACTGGATATGTGGAGCAATCAAACGCATAACTGGTCTGGGAGCACACTCTACGTGTGTTTTATACGGCCGCTCGACCGCAAAGATACACAACGCTGCTGCGACACGAGACGTAGGGACGCGAGGACGACGACGAACACCACCAGCCGCTCGACGTCCAGATGCGACTGCGCAAGAATGTCAAGTTTGCACTTTTGACAGGCATCGCACCCGCCACCAACGCAGTGCAATCTCAAAAAGGCGGGAAACGCGTGCGTAATGCTGGATGGCACGTGTATATACCCTTGGTTGACAGCCCTTACATTCACGTTATCGTCGTTCCACTGACCAGATTCGAGACGCCGTCGACCCACACCATTCAACATTACCTGGGGAGAATGTCTCCATCCCGCTGCAATGGTCCGTTCAACTTGAATGCAGGCGGCACGGCGTTCGCAGAGCGTCGAGGACTTTGCGTCTCTCAATCACCTTCACGTGCAGTCCACGAGGTATGTTGATATAGACATTTCGACGTCAGTTGAATGTTGAATCGTCCGCAGAGTACCCTACTGGGTGTGCGTGCGCCAACTTGCATCATGGAGACTTGGGCAAAGGCACAACAACATGTGGCATCACCAAGTGCAGTGCGCGGGTCAAGCTGGTCACCGCCCATCATCGTCGACGGCGCGATGCGTGATTGGGTGATCAAGAGTAGGAGTGCGATGCCCTGTCCAGCCTGGACCATGGGCTACAGGCAGCTGGGCTACAGGGTGTTTTGTCGGCAACTCTATAGCCCAGCATTGACATTTCCTAGCTGCTTTGTAGGAAGTCTGTTCGATACGCTGCGTCGTAGTGCGCAGACGTGCGCAATATTTGAGTTTTGCGCGCGCTTTTTTGAGTTTTTGAATTTGAAACGCATGGACCGTGCACGCAATCCGGATAACGGGGCACTGTTTGGGCGGCAAGCCGGATACGCTTCCCGCTGGCTGCATTGGCACAAGCTGAAAGAGCGGCTAGCTATGACCACCATGCTCGAGACGGACGCGCTCAAGGAGCAGCTCCGCGTCGCGAAGGAGAAGCTCACGCTGCACCGGCGCCCGCGGCCGACGCCCGTCGACGTCTACAGCCCCGACATCCGCGTCTGGGAAATGAAGCTGCGGCTCGCGCTGGAGCAGAACCTCGAGCTCGAGCAGCGCCTCGCGTGGGAGATCAAGCAGCGCAGCGTGGCCGAGAAGTACATCCAGCACCAGATCCGGCACCTGCAAGACATGCTCGAGGCTGTCATTGAAACTAGCCCGAAGACGAGCCCGCGCCGCCACGCCAAAGCGACAGCGTCGTTCGAGGACCGACAAGTGCAACAGAACTTGAGCCCGCTCTTGACCGAGGTCATGCAAGTGCAACTCAAGTTTGCCGAAACCATGCAGCAGCTCGACCACTCGGTGCACGCCCGTGAGAAGCTCTTGCAGCCGCCGATGCCCCGCCGCCTCCACGACTCGTTTGCATCGTACTCGTCTGAGAGCGACCACACAGCACCGCGCATGGAGACGTACACGCGTATGCTCGACCGGGAGACGCCGAGCCCCCAGCACGCGCCGCCTGTCACGATGACGTCGTCGAGTACGTCGCCAATGCGACCCGAGCGCCCGATGTCCCCGCAGACCTTTCGGGCGTCAACAGCTGCCGTGCACCTCGTCCAGAGCCGCATCGAAGAGGAAGACCTGACGACGCCCAAAATCGACCGTAGCATTCGATTCCACGACTGCGACGACGACGACGACGAGACGCCCGTGCACCGCCGTGTCGAATTTGTCGCTCGACCACCGAGCCCGTCCGAGTCGGCGTTCCTTGGCGCGAGCATGATCTCGTCCAGCGAGCCGAGCACGAGCTTGTACTCGATGTGTCCAAGCAGCGACCTCGAGCGCTCCTCGTTCGTCGCCGACTTTGCGCAGTTTCGCCAGAGCCTCAAACAGTCGGCGACCAAGCTGCGGGCGGCCAGCGCGCCGTCGTCACCGGTTGCGTGGAAGGTCGACCCGGCCGCGTCGCTACGCGAACTCCAGCAACTGAAGCAGCAGCTGACGCTGGACATGCAAAGCCTCAGCACCGAGCTCACGCTTCTCTCGTTGGACCCGACCCAAGCCTCGAAAGCCGACATGCAGCAACTCCAAGCCAGCGTCGACGAGTGCCGAAGCCGCATGATCGCCATCGACCGCCGCATGCGCTTCTTCGCGTCGTCGCCCTAGTTGTCCTAACTTAACTCTGTACTATTGTCCTCCAAGTCGCAAGAAAAGCCATATATTGCCGTCAGAAATCCGGAACAAGTTACATGCGCGAGCGCGGGTGCTTGTAGCCTTGCATCTCGCGCGGCAGCGACGTCTCGACAAGGTCCTCAATGTCGTGGATGCCATACTTGTTGGGGGCGCCCGTGCGCCAAATCTCGCGCGGGTTGAGCTGGCTGTCTTCGTTGAGGAACTGGACGCCCATAAACTAAAATTTGCAAATTCAGTAAGTTGGCCAAAGCGAGGGTCGAAGCGGGTACGACCTGCTGGTGCCAGCGGATCATAAAGTCAATCCGCGGCGTCGGAAAGTTGCCGAGCATTTCGGCCATGTTTTTGAGAATGCACAGACCGTACGGAATGTCTTCCCAAAAGAGACTAAAAAAAAGTATCAATCTGTCAATCGAACGGGATGAGGCGAGTACCGCGACCCGACCGCCGGGTGGAACTGGCCCGGCGACACCTCGTTGAGCGGCGTCACACAGCCTTGGTAGCCCAAGTTGGACTCGAAGATCGCCTTGAGCGAGCTCCTACATACAACACCAGTGTTAGTTATGAGACGTAGTTGAAGAGAAGTACGCACCGGTCCGAGACGTCGTCGCCATACTGCTTGACGACGCGGGCGTCCATGGGCAGGACATCCGACAAGTCGAGGGCGGGAAAGCGCTACGTCCATGCGTGACACACCGTCGTCATGCAAATGGTGTACCTGAAGGAGCGCGAGCTTGACCTGCTGGAGCTCGTTGTCGAGCATCGAGAGCTGCTCGGCGGAAAATTCGTCAAAGTCGGCGTCTAGCCAGTACAAACTCAGTCAACGAAGGTGCGAAGTGGCATTGGCGGACAGAGGGTGAGGCCCTTGCGCTGCGCAAGCTGCTCCTTGGTGTACGTCTTCTTGCCGTCCCAGTCGCGGAAGATGGCGTAGTACCGCGCGGGGTGGATGATCTGGTTGGACGGCGTCAGCGTCAAGTTGAGAAAGTTGGCGACCGTCGTGCACGGAATGTCAAAGAGGTCCTCCATGAGGCGCGCGGCCGCGTCCTTCTTCTCGACAGGGTACGCTGCAACGTAGAGACACTTCTTGGGCCCAATGATCTTGGCTTCCTTCCCGTACGTCGTCGCCTTGCAGATCCACGGAATGTTCTGGAGGCCAAAGAGCATGCTCAGGCTCTCCAAGGTCGTGGCGCCGAGCGCGCGCTTGGCCGCCCAGTCAAAGCCGCCCTGGGCAAAGAGCGCGCCGAGGACTGCGCCGGCCTTGACATGCGGCGCGATCTTCTCGAGGATTGCCGGGTGCGCGTTCGCGGGCGCGGCCACAAAGATGACGTCGGCGGTCGGGATCGCCTGCGCCGCGTTGCTTGTGACGAGTGTGAGGCGGCCCACGATGTCGCCCTTGTCCTGCCAGCTGCTGCCTTTGGTCGAGATGCGAATCGATTCCGACCACAATTCGGGCTGCCGCGTGAGCACATGGACGCGGAGGCCCTTGGAGGCCAAGTAGCCGGCAGCGACGTGGGCGCCGTTGCCGCCGCCGCAGATGGCGACGATGGGCGACGAGGTCGACGAGGACGTGTGCTTGGCGAGCTGGGCGCGCGCGGTGGCCACCGAGAGCGTCATGGCAACCGAGAAAAAGACAGGATGCCACGGGACGCGTCAGAGTGGCACGACGCTACGCCGAGGCTAAACGCACGCAAATGAAGGCTATAAAAAACCGCGGCCGTGTGCCATTCACCTGTCGTCGCGACCTGCTGCCGAACGGCGATCAGCGATAGGCCGGTCGCCTGCACCATCGATGCAGGCGTCGATCCCGTCGGCCACGTGGTACATTCAGGCCGTGGGACGTCATCGACACGCCCTGGTTGCTTGGTATACACTGGATTTATTTCTCAAGTTGCGTGCGTCCATCCTATGCAGACAGTACGCACAGCGTGTTTGCAGCTCGACTTTGCTGGCGCACGATCGGTCGATCGCTTGCTTGGTAGAAGCGCTGTCTGCTGCATAGACGCGTCATGTCGCGCTACGTGGTGGCTGCCCGGACGGTGCCAAAGATGGCGTGCAACTAGCCACGTTCCACCCTCTAATACTGAATACGTTGTATCGAAACAAAGAGGGAGCAAACTTAACTGAACAATGCGTGCCATCCGTGAAAGTTTCCGTGTCAACTGCAAGATGACGCCGACGACGGTTGAGGCGGCGGCGCCAGCCGAGAAGAAGCGCGGCAAGGGCGCGCGGCTCACGGACGAGCAGCGCATGGAGATCCTCGAGACGATCTTGAGTGCGCAGAGCAGCGAGAGCGCAGTCAAGGTGCCCACAAAGCAGCTCGCGGAAGCGTACGGCGTCACGCCCGCAGCCATCCGCAAGCTGTACAAGGACCGCGATGTCTTCCTCTCGCGCTTCGCCACGGGCCGCGAAGGCGTCCGCAACGGCCGCAAGCGGGGCGGCGACCGCGCCAAAGTCGAGTTTGAGACCGAGCTCTTCAAGTGGGTGAGCGCGCTTCGGCTCAACAACGTCGCGCTCGTGCCATCGCACATCCAGCAGCGCGCGCTCGTTCTCGCCAAGAAGTACCCGTCCATGGACAAGTTCCAGGCGTCGTGGGGCTGGTACTATCGATTCTGCAACCGCTACAATGTGACCGGCGCCTTGAGTTCGGAACCCACGAGTTACGACCACGCGGTGCTCAGCCACGATGCAGTACGCCGCTGCTCCGCCACTACATACATGCCGTGACGCCACGTGCGTAGGTGAGTCTTTTGCATCCGGATGCCAACGCAATGGGGTTCCTTGTCGGCGCTGCGAAGCGCAAGCCCGCACCCAAGGGCGTCCACTCCGAAGTACGCTCTTCTGCCTGCACCATCAAGCGCCGCTGAAGCAGCAACGCGTAGGAAGGGTTTCTGCTGCATGCTGCAACCGCTGGCGAACTCGGGTTCGTCGAGTGTCTTGTTCAAAAGGGCATCGCGGTCGACTGCGTCGGTGTGGTAGGTTGCCTGTCGGTGGGTACGGTGTGAGGATTATGCTGCCTAGGACGGGTGCACACCGCTGCTCATGGCGCTCAAGGGCGGCCACTACCACGTTCTCAAGTACCTCTTGGAGCACGGGGCCAAGCCTGATGCGACGGATGAGGTACTAGTATTGCTGTGTCATTTCGGCTGCGGACTGGCCATTATAGACGGGCACGAGCGCGCTGGTTGTCGCCGTTAAGTTGGGCCACAGCAATGCGCTCAAGAGCTTGCTCGAAGCCAACGCCAAGACCGAGACCACCGACACGGTACATTTCTACGACTCTCATCTCTGTCTCTACCAACCATATTGCTATATTACACTGCTAGAACCTCAAGACTGCCCTCGTGGTCGCATCCGAAATGGGCGATGTCAAGGCCGTCAAGCTCCTCCTAAAGTTTGGCGCCAACATGGAAGCCACCGACGTCGTATGATAACGGCTCCTCTGGCCTTCACTGTTTTTTGTATATGGGGACCTAGGACGACCGCACGCCGCTGTTTAACGCCGTCCGCTTTGGCCACATCGGCGTCGTCGACGTGCTCATCAAGAAGGGCGCGAATCGCGTGGCGCGGTCGCTTGTACGGGCGCGACGCTACTCGCGCATGTCCTCACTATGGTCCTAGGACGGTCTCACGGTCCTTGAGCTCGCAGAAACGCTGGAGGCTTCGGCCGACATGATGCAGCTCCTCCAGAGCCCCGACGTCGTAACGACAGTGTGAGCTCTTTTGTGATTTATATAACGCAGTCAATCGCATGTTCTCGTCAGCACCAACACCGTTCATACCTTGTAGCGTCAGGATTCGGGACGGGCAGAAGAGCGAGGAGGCTATTTCAAGGATCCCACGGCTCGGTGGCGCCGAGATCAACGTAAATGTAGAGGTTTACGAGGTGTAGTGGTTATTAATAACTAGTAGTGCATATTTACTTGTGCATCATCTATGGTCGCCCGAGCCAATTTGGAAACGCATCGAAGGTAATGCGCCACGTGCACAGGGCCAATGGTAAACGAGGTTCTTTATTCGACCAACTCCACCACCAATAGTGTTGCATCGATTTGTTCTCCGTCGAGGGTTCTTTTTTCGGTGCCCTCTTCTGCCAGATTATTGCTGGCCCTTGACGTCAAGCCCTCCGAGAGAGCAGCTATCCCAGAGAGGCGAATGAATACAGTGTAGTTACCTACCTAGCACGGTTTACTCGACCGTTGCTGCCCGATACTTCACGCTGCGCCAGCTCGTGAGATGTCGAGCGGGTGCCAGCGTTCAACCGGTTTGTATACCAGCGCGAAACTGGCGCGATCACGCTGAACTTGTTGGACGGAGATTGGCAGCTCACAAGCGACGATCTCTTGCCTCCCTTGACGCGCTTTGACTCCATGCACGACCAAGCCCCCGGCCATTAGTGAGAGTCTAGCTACCCGGGGGTACAAACTCCGAGCTCTTTTCGTGCATACTATGCGTGGGCCAACTTGAAACTTGACGGCACGACTAAGTATCTTTCGAATTACACCACTAATTCGAACACTCGTGCTGTTGAAGCCAACACATTGGCTACTCTGATTTGTTCCGATTTTCCAGCGTATCGCCCGGGAAAAGCATCCTTTACAGTCCTCACTGTGCAATTTTCACCATGAAACTGAGCCACCTTTTCCTATTGGTAGCGTCCGCCGCTGCGCAGGACGCGCCCGACCCGACGTACGGCGGTGCGCTCTACGCCTTTACGGCCTACGCGTCGCCGCTCGTGCTGCCCGAGGTGCTCGACATGACGGCCGGCGGCTCGCTCAAGATGAACATTGGCCAAGTCGATAGCCATGCGTGGGGCAACGGGATCCCGACGACTGCTGTCTACGGCTACGGCGTCGTCGGTCGTAATATGTCGCACCCGGGCCCGACGATCCGCGTCAAGAAGGGTGTGCCCATCAACGTCGAGTGGTTCAACACGCTCGGCAGCTCGACGCACCTTCTCGGGCGGTACATTGAGCCGACGCTGCTCCGGTCGACGTC